AGTGTCAGCTTCCCCTGATGATTGTTCAAAGTGAAATTCACAAATACCATAGTTGTCTGATAGGTGGAGAATGATTTGTCAGACAGCACAGGGTCAGCAGGTTATGTCATGTGTTGGCTGCAGCTATAGTAATTGATCAGTTGACCAAGCCAGCATCTGAGGACAGCCTGTTCACGACGAAGTACTGTTATCATGTCGTGCATCTGTATTGGGGAACTGGCCAGGAGGAAAAAACCCAAACAGCATCTGTCCTGGTCAGGACCCAGCCATTGCAGGGGCTGTGCCAAACAGAGGATGGAGAGCTCAGATGTGTGAATCAAATGATTCATATGAGCTAGGTCTGTAGAGACCTCTTATCGTATGTAATTGAGTATATCTTCCCCAGAAATGACCAGTTCAGCAGTGTAGTGTCAGTTTGGTGCAGATACTACCCTATTAATAGATAATTAAGGGCAATCTTATCTAAGACTACCCTGGAGGGAAGATGTATATTTGTTGTGCAGTGGTAAGTCTTTGCAGCAGAGTTTATGAGACTACCTAAAGAGTTGAATGGATTCCTATCATTTCTTCATTACATGTATGCTATATTCTGTTGTAAGGACTCTGATGAAAGAAGCAAATCTGGGGTTCCACACCCCCAGGTAGCTTACATTTGACTTTCTGATGTAGAGAGAGGGGGCCAGCCCAGTGACTATACCGGTGATCAGTTTGAGATCTATAAGGAGGTCAAATATCATAATCCAAATTGCATATGGTGGTGCTTACCTGTAATCCCAGCACTTGTGAGGCTGAGGAAGGACAATCATGAGTTTAAGGCCAGTCTGGGCAACATAGCAAGATCTTGTCTCAAAAATATAAACAAGGACTGGGGGTGTGTATCAAGTAGTAAAGTGCCTTCCTGCCTGCCTAATTAAGTGTGAGGCTTGGAGTTCAAATACCAGTACCGTCATAATCAAAACAAAAATAAATAAATACACTTATTTATCCTAATTCACACTGGCTTCCACTAATTATTTATCTATGTGTCTAAATAATTGGAACCCCAATCTCCATCTACAAGTAGAGCTCTATCAAGGTGAGGCACGTATGGTTGTTTTGTTTTGTCTTTTTGGCAGTGCTGGAATTTGAACTCAGGGCTTCATGCTTGTTAGGCAGGTGCTCTATCACTTGAGCCATGCCTCCAGCCCATGTATGGTTTTTTGGAGGTAAGGCCTCTATATGTTACTCAGTTAAACCATGGATCTATTTTGTTAGCACATCCAGTTAATAATCCTTTTTTTAAAATTCATCCTAATTATTTTGTTTACAAATTTGTATTTGTTGTTACAAATACAAATATTTTGCTCCTGGGAGGAACTTTGTAAGTTTTGTTCAATTGAATGATTCAGAAGCCCAACAAGCTACTAGTTTGGCTCAGTTAAATAAGGCATAGAAGTTGAAGGGTAATGGGAAAGTTTACTCTACAGAGAAGTCCAGGAGGTTTAGGTCAATTGGTAGAGTGCCTGCTTTGCAAGTGTGAAGTTCTGAGTTCAAACCCCGTCCCACCCCCCCCAAAAAAACAGCTAACATCCAAATATACAAGAGTTTCCTGTCAAAAATGTCATCTATTAAAGTAAGACCAGAAGCCTGGTGCTAGTGGTTCACCTATAATCCACGCCTGGGAGGCTGAGATTGGAAGGATCACAGTTCAAGGCCGGCAGGGAAAATAGTTCAAAAGACACCCATCTTCAAAAATAACCAGAGCAAAGTAGACTGGAGTGTGGCTTAAAGAGTAGAGCACTTGCTTTGCAAGTGCAAAGCCCTGAGTTCAAACGCCAGTCCCACCAAAAAAAAAAAAAAAAAAAAAGCTAGAGCAGTATGTTGTCCAAGAGAAGAAGAAGGAAACAGCAGGAGTAAGATAATTATAGCAAGAGAGAACAATGTAGACACCAGGCATGGTGGCACATGCCTGACGGCAGAGTTAGAAGGATAGCAAGTTCAAGGCCAGCCTGGGCTATACAGTGAGAGCCTATCTCAAAAAACCAAGGTCTAGGGATGTAGCCCAATGTAGAGTGCTTGTCTAACATGTGTGAAGCCATGGGTTCTATCTCCAGGACTGGAGAGAGAGAGAGAGAGAGAGAGAGAGAGAGAGAGAGAGAGAGAGAGAGAGAGACAGACAGAGAGACAGAGAGAATACCATGGAAGCAGTTGATAGAAGGATTCATAACAAGTGAGATAGCTAAAAGAAATGAGTAAGAAGACACTTCAAAAGTGCTTCTACGGCTGTGTGGTACATGAAAATGGTGAAGGGGGAGCCCATACTACTTATTTGGAGGATTTGACCAATAGTGCAGTGGCAGAGACAGCCCTTCACTAAAAATGGTACCTGTGGGTAACTGGGTCCAGCTATTGGCTACAGTATTCTACATGGTAATATTGATCTCCATTTCTTTGAGTTAGAACTCATAGGGCATTTCCTTCCTTCTTTGTGCAAGCAACTTATCTGGAATACTGCAATCTTGAGGAAGTTCTTGTCATAAGTTCTGTTACCAGTCTACACGTAGGAATGTTTTAGGTTATATCCCGATATAGGCATATATGCATGAAGGCTCTTTTTTTCCACAGCCTCTCCCAACACTGTTTTGTTGGAGTTTGACATAAGTGACTCCATTTTGGTTCTAGCAACTTTCACATGTGTACTTCAAAGTGCACAGTTGAAGTACTTTCACATTGTTGTACAACTATCACCATCACCTACCTCTGGAACTCTTTTCATCTTGTAAAACTGAAACTCTGTACCCATTAAACAGAAACTCCCCATTTCTAGCAGGGTCAGTTAACTGTCTACTCTTTTCTGGGTCCCCAAGAAATTTGTTGAGGATATCCTCTGGATGTGTTTTACATTTCATAGTTGGCACTTGGTATCAAATGGAGTATCTAGATATGAAAATACATATCTCAAATAAGAATTATAGATGAGTTTAACAAGAACCCAGGTACAACTGAAGAAACAGTGAAAGACAAGGTCAGAATGTGATGTTGCCTGAGACACTTTGGAGTGATGTTCTTACCCTTCTCCCTGCTCTGGGTAATCACCATTCTTTCCCAAAGCCCTGCTGGGATGAGTGAGTAACCCAATCCTACCTTCAAGATATGGATGCTCCTCGACTTATCATGGGGTACATCCTGACAAAGCCATCATTAAGTAGAAAGCATCATAGGTCAAAAAGCATTCAATATACCTAACCTACTGAACTTCACAGATTAGCATACAGTACAGCTAGAATTGTGGCTCACTGCCACTACTTAATATGGTGAGAGAGTATCATACATCATGTCACTAGCCAGCAGAAAGATGAAAATTCAAAGTATGGTTTCTTGCCGGGCGCTGGTGGCTCATGCCTGTAGTCCTAGCTACTCAGGAGGCAAAGATCAGGAGAATCACAGTTTGAAGCCAGCGGAAACTCCAACAGAAAACAGGGCTGGCGGAGTGGCTCAAGTAGTTGAGCGCCTGCCTAGCAAAGGCAAAGCCCTGAATTAAAACCCCAGTACTGGAAAAAAAAAAAACAAAAAAGTATGGTTTCTACTGAACATGTATTGCTTTCACATTATCATAAAATTGAAAAAATAAATTGAAACATTATAAAGTTGGGGATTATCTGTTTGAAACCAGGGCTGAACTGAAACAAACTAAACCCACAACCCAGCCCATCTCCTCATTAGCTGGAAGAGATGAGCCTCACAGCCCAGCTGCCTAACAAGGCAAGTGCAAGCCCTTCCTGGGTATTTATTACATATTTCAATTTCTTATACACTTCTACTCTTCTTTTATCTATAATATCTGGCACACAATTTATGAAACATGTAAAGAATCAGAAAAATGCAATCCATAGTCAAGAGGCAAAAAAAAAATCAATAGAAACAGATCCACAGAGGACCCAGGTCTTGAAATTAGCTGACAAAAACTTTTAATTAAAAATGACAAATATGTTAATTTTTAAAGAAAAGATGAACAAAATGAGTGAATTTCAGAAGAGAGATGAAAACTACAAAAGCAAGTGAAATTTCTAGAAATGAAAAATACATATCTTTTACAGGAATGGGGGAGAAGAGATAAAGGAAGAATGATTGAGGGGTTAAAAAAAAAAAGAAAAATGCATATCTCAAATAAAAGGTGTATTACATAGACTTGACAGCCAAGCAGCCTCAACAAAAGGATTAGTGAAGCCAAAGGCAATAGAAAATACCCAAACCAAAAAGAAGAAATTGGTTTTGCCTGAGCCCCTTTGGGATTTTGTCCTCACTGTCCCTCCCATCCTTCCAGGCTCACCTTATGCCACAGGGCCCGGAGGCAGCTTCTCCTCAGGGTTGTGTGTTGCCATGCCAGGTACTCATCCACACAGGCACGGGCTTGCAGGTCCTGAGGGTACCAGAAGTCAGGAACCTTACACTTGTGTGTCAGGTAGAGCAGGATGGCCACACTGTGGGGTGGGAGGTGTGACATAATGGATGGGAGAGGGCACTGTGCTAGGGACTTTATACCCAGTACATTCCTGATCTTCCTGATAATCTGCCAAAGTATGGCCCTCATTTTCCAGCTAAGGGAAGCAGGCTTTAAAAAGGAAAGGGATTTGTCCCAGGTCACACAGCCCGTACTAACAGACCTGAGAGTCTTTCTGGGGCTAAAACTCCAGCTTATTCTACTACCAGGTAAAAATCCCACAGCAGAGTGTCCAGTCAAGTGTTCAGACAGTTTCTGATCACAGGACAAGAGAGAGCTTCCTGGAAGAGGTGTCACACAAGCTGAGCCTTGAGGAAGCTCATTTCTCACCAGTTTGCATCCACTCTCATCCTCTGGCATGCAGACCAGCCTCCAATGGCCTCATGGTTCAGAAAGACTTTCTCATCATTCCTTTGTTCTTTTGTCACTCTTTCTTCTAAAAATCAGCTCCTATATAAATCTACAGATGTGATTTGACTCCTTAAAACCTTATCCAGGAAACTTTCTTCAGGGTGCTGCAGGTTCCTGGCAAACAAGGCTCCCTGGCCCTCTGCTTCTGTCCTTGGTTATGAGGGTTTATCATAGTGTAGGGAAGAGGATGGACCTTAAAGGACACAGAGGATGTATGGATTTGGGTCATAGGAAATTTTCAGGAATTTGGAGTATCTTGAGGGTTGGGTGCTCTAGCACAAAGGACAGAAAACCTCTGATCTGCCACAGCATCATGTTCTCGCTTAAAAGTCCTGCATCCTCAATCCAGTTTAGTGACTTCGTTGCCCTGATGCTCTTTTTGCTCCCAGCTAATTGCTCAAGGCACCTCTGAGGGAAACCCAAGGTTGAGAGAAGTGCAGAGATTGCCTCCAGCTGGTACATGTAGGAGGTCAACATTGGGTAGACAAAGACTGAGGACACTGGTGGCACCAGGAAGGAAGAACAGCAGTGGCAGAATGTCAGAGGACTTCATCCGGGTGCATCCATCTTGAGATTCCAGAGATGAGCTCTAAAGCATAAACTCTAGGTTTTCCTTGCTATGGGATAGCTGGCAACCCAGGTGACAAAAGGGGCAGAACTGGGAAAAGGCTTGTCCTTCCCTGAAGAAGGAAGGTTCAACTTCCTTGCAACCTGCTGTGATGTAAAACACTCACATGTCTGGAGGATCTCTTGAGGGGGAGACTCACCCAGGGAAGCCTTTAGGCCATCTCCACACAAGCTGGGCCAGAAGGCTGCCCCATGGTGGATGAAGCTACCTTTCTTCCTTACCCTGTTTCCTTGTCTTGAACCCTGCCCCATGGATACTCTCATCAACAACCAGAGGCATGGTGCAGAAGTAAAGCAGGTGCCTGGTTCTCCAACCTGCCTAATGAGCTAGAAGAGCAGGCAGGCAGGGGTCTGAGTTCCAGCACCAGCTCTGTGGTATATGGGCCAAAGTCCACTGAGGACTTTAGTTTCCTTATCTATAACACAGATAGCCAGGACAGGATGGTTCCAGCAAGGTGTGGCAGCGGCCCCAGTGGTTCAGTTACCTCTCAGTCAAGGTGAAGTCCCCATCCTTCATGGCAGGTACCTTCTTCAGAGGGTTCACCTGGGCAAAGGCATCGCTGAGGTGCTGGCCTGCAGACAGCCCAGCATGAGAGGTGGTACACAACTATAATCCTAGCTACTAAGGAGAGGGAGATCTTGAGACAAAAACGTCATGAAGAAAAAAGTTATAAAGAATCCATCTTAACCAAATAAGATGGCCCTAAATTCAAAACCCCAGCAGCACACAGACAAAGAAAAAGTAAAGAAAGAATATCTGTCTCATTGCTTCTCTGCTCCACAGCCCTCAGTGGCTCACTGTTAAGCCTGAATCGGGTGGAAGATCCTCCAAGCTCTACACAATAGTGTTTTTCTCCAGTCTTCTTGCTATCCTCCCATTACCCTCTGTCAGATAATTCCTTCACCAGGTGCACCCTCTCTCTTTTCCTGGTGAAATGCATCTCCATGTGCATCCCTGCTCCCGGGCCGGGCCCTTTTTCTTGCCCCATAGTCTGCAGGGGCAACGCTTGTGTGGGGGTAAGCCAGCTGTCACCAGAGAAGACTAGGACGAGGTGAAGTTTTAACAGAGGGACAGGCAGCGCAAAGGCGCAAAGGTACAGCAGGAGCGCTGGGTAGAAAGTTTAGCCAAGTAGAGTTGCCCCACTTGCCCACCCGGAGCAACACTTAAATTGTGCTGTCATCTCTTCCTACCACCCCACCCCCGCGAGGCTCAGACCTGCCAGCAGTGTCCTTGAGGGCCTCAGCCGCCAGGCCAGAGAAACAAACAAGCCTCCCTGCTCAGGGTTCAGCAACTCCCGCTGTGGAGGAGGGGCTCCCGTTCCTAGCATAGCTTTGGGGACAAATCTTTCCCTAGCTAGACAAGAGAGGCGGGGGACAAGGTAAGTAAGGCAAAGCAGGAAAAGCAGAAGAAAGGGACAAAAGCCACTCAACAGAGTCTAGGCTGGAAACGCAGGTCCACCAAGCAATGCTTCCTCTGCGTGCTACTTGCCAGTTTCAACACGGGACCACGAAGGAGGGACTTGACTGTGTCAGTCTGTACACTTGATCTCCTGGCTCCCCTCCCTCCTCCTCCTCTTTTCTGGAGGTTCACGATCCCCCGCACCCCCAAGTCCAGGCCACACCCATTTCAGTTTGCAGGTCTCTTCTCTCTTCAGGCGCCTCCCCCTCTTAATCTGCAGCAGATGAGTCCTTGTTATCTATTCCATAGGACAGCACAATCTAGGGGAGTCCCGAATCTTGGATCTCCCTAGTGACTCACTTTTCTCACCTGGTCTCCAAAGCAGACCAAGGAAGGCCCCAACAGGCACGGATCCTCTAAATTACGTTTGCTTCTTGCTCTGCCCCCCCCCCGCATTCTCAGTTCTCTAAACCTGACACCCCACCCACCCTTGAGCAGCTCCACGGTGCGCAGCTGGAAGGGGATGCCGTTTTTCTTGGCGAAGATGTAGATGGCGCGGCAGGGCTGGGACAGCAGGTCCAGGTAGAGCTCCAGGACCATGGTGGAGGTGGTGGGCACCAGAAACCTGAGGGACACAGCAAAAACTCAGGCGGGTCTCTGGTCTCAGACCAGGCCTGGCGCGGCCACGCCCTCATGGGCGTGGGCACTTTCCTCCAATTGCTGGCTAGCCAAGGACAAGTCCCAGGAATTGAGGCCTCTGGGCTCTCTGCCCCAGCAGAGCCAGAGTGGTCAACCCTGCGGGGATGAGGGAGATGGAAAGGGACCCCATTCCAGCCCAGTCACAAAGTGACTCGCTTATTTGACTTAGCATAATGTCTTCAAGGTGCATCTGTGTCATAGCGTATGTCAGAGTTTCCAATCGTCCCCATTTTACAGATGGGGAAACTGAGGCACTGAGTAATGATAAAACCAGAAAATCGGTTTGGAGGATCCATTGTCTTAGACCAACACTCCAGAGATCTTGGTACCAGCAAGGAGCAAAGCTTCCGGGCTTGTGTGCAGTATTTTGATCCACTGGTTGTTTTTGAGTGTGTTGTTTAATTTCTACAAACTCATGAATTTTCTGTTGTGTTCAGAAAACATACTTTGCATGATTTCAATCTTCTTAAATTTGAGACTTATGTTGTGGCCAAACATATATATATACTTTAGGAAAGTGTTTAATCTGCTATTGTTCTAGATCCAAGTGTTTTCTACTGTTGTTCTTTGATGATCTTTGTTATTCTCATACTGAAAGGGGATGTTGAAGTCATGAACTGTTATTTACAATGTAATCAGATTTAACCTTTAATTCTACATTCTTTCTGGAACCCTAGAGGACCTGAGACTACCAAATACTCCCAAATCAGGCTCTCTGCTTACACTAACTATCCCTGAAACTCAGCAGCCATGGTGTTGTTCCAGTTCTTTATTAGGCAAAGGAACAGAGTTGGTTGTCAGTGTCTTCCCTAAGGAAGGAGGCTCAGAGGGCTGAGCCAGCTGGGCCCTGCAGGATGAACGGCCTCTGGGATCACATGTGCTTCTGCAGAAACTCACAGATCCTCTCCTTGACCATTGGATCCAGTGTTGAACAGTCCCAATCTGACAACTTCGCCAGCCTATCATGGGCCTCCCAAAACAGGCCAGAGCCAATGGCCAGCTCCACCCTCATACGCCATTCGGCTACCTTGGAACTGCTGAGGAAGACATTATAATTGCTTGCCATGGGCTGTGGGTAGACAAGAAGATGTGGTTAGCCTACGGAGCAGCACTACCTGGATCATCACCTACAGCCTCAAGGGTCCTCTCCACCTGCTTCTGCTCTTGTTCTCTGGTCTTATTCCAAGAATCCTGATCCCCTTTCTGAGGTGACACCTGTCCTAGTGGTTCCCACTTCTCCTGCCTGAAGCCTTCCATGAGTCCTGCCTTCTTCTAGGGAAGTCCCTTGTCCCTATTGGAGGGGGGACTCAGTTCTTCCTCCCCGCCCCATGTTGTACCTCCTTCTGTTATCAAACATAGAAGGAGGAGATCTGGCAGGCAGCCTGCCTCACAGTTCAGCACTGTTCAGGAGTCCTAACGGGCTGAGGTGGCAAAGTATGAAAGGTATGGGAGGTTGAAACACAGGGTTCTATACTTGGGACAGGCCAGAATAGTTTTTCCTGGTGCTCCTCTGCACTGCACATTGACCAGGGACCAAAGTGGCCACTTTGCATAGTGGCCAGACTATGCTGGCCTTTCAAGACGCTGACCAGGTAGTGTCTAAATTAGCTAACCTGCACATACCAGGTAGCTCAGAACTGGCCGCTCTTCTCTGCCTGTAAAGACCATGTAAAAGCCAACACCTAGGTATGCCTCCAAATTCACAGTGGATGCTACTCAGTCCCAGAGTCAGGGGAGCTGCACTATACAGCTATCTGCCTGGAGCTCTGGAAGAGAGACAAGGCCAAGAGGACACATCTGGAGTCTCTGAACTTTTATTTCCTGGGGAGTCCATCAGCAGGAGGAGGAAGCATCTGGGATCCTGATGGATGGATTGAGACATGCCATGTTCTTCTCTGCATTTCAGGTTTATCCTCTAACTCCTCCCCATGCTGTACAATCCTTGTCAAGCTAAATAATCATAATCCTCTCCAATTCAAAACTTTCTGTGCTGCTTTTGGAGTCCAGACACTCAGACCCGGCTCCCACAACCCTCAGGATAGCCCTGCTTGCCTCTCCTACTTCACCAGTCTGTCCTCAAGTTATACGGCCCCACTCATCCCAGAAGCATCTTGCTTCCGCCAAGGCTTTGACCACCACCGCACCACCCCACCACACACCTGCATCATCTCCACCAGGGCCACCAAGTCAGCCAAGGAGATGTGGTCCCCGGTGATGAACATCTTGTCCTGCAGAAACTTATCCTCGAATTGCTGCATGTTTTTCTTCACCTCTTCCATCACCTGGTCTGTCTTCTCATCAGGAACTTCCTCACCAGTGATCATCGGGATTAGCAACTGGCCAGGTGAAGGAAGGAGGGAACATAGAGACTGCATCCCACTTCCCTCTGTCCCTCTATGTCGACCTATCCTGTCTGTTAGATAGATATTGGACAGTATCAAGGATGTAAATTGTTTAACCTATTAAGTGGTATTTTTTGGTAGAAGAGGCCTGGGGTCTGTGTTCAGAAGGATTTTGAGACCCCAGCAAGAATGAATGCTGTGGTTGACTAATGTTGTCTGTCATAGGTTGATAGGACTTGGGTATGGTTTGAGTGTATCCCGAGGTGTTCATGTGTTGGAAAGTTGGTATCTAGTATGGTAATGTGAGAAGTGGTAGAATCTTTAAGAAGAGGAACCTAAATAGGAGGTCAGAAGAGATCGAAGTAATTTTCCTGGGACACCAAGTTAGTTCTTAACAGAACAGGTAGTTCTCATAGGACACTCAATGAATTCTCTCTTTCTTTTTTCTTTTTTTCTGGCAGAAGTAGGGTTTGAACTCAGGGAATGGAGTCTTGTCAACTCTTTGCCTGTCGGAGACAAGGCTCCCTTTGTGAGCCATTCTGTCTTGACCTTGCCCTGGAACATTTTGCGGTTGTTTGTCCCAACTTCTCCATCTCCAGCACAAGATGGCGCCGTCCCTGCTTCTCTTCCGGGAGTTTACCTTGCCGCCGCGTGAACGTGCACCCTATCAGAAGTCCTATAGCAGAACCAGCCAACCAGCCTGCACCTCGTCGTACCCCTCACTCCCTCAGCACATAAATACCCCTGTGTGAACAATAAAATTTTGCAGCTTGATCAGAACTCCTGTCTTGCTGTCATCCTTCGTGTCTCTTGTCCCTTCATTCTTCCCTTCTAGGTTCGCTACCCACGCTGATGTGTCCTGCTGGACGGGACATCTGGCGCCCAACGTGGCTGTAGCTATTCCTTTGATTGTGGGGAGAACACCGTCCTCCGGGAAGGCTTGGGCCCAAGCAGAGTTCGCGATCGCCTCGGCAAACGCAACCGAGAGACAGATCCAGGAGGAGAGTGAGGACGGCGAACGGTGAGTGACCCACCCTGGGACAAGCAGTATCGTCACATGATTTGTTTCTTTCAGGCCTCAAGGAGGCCGTCAAGACACGAGGGGCGCGTGTTAAGAAAAAAGACTTGAGGTCATTCTTTTGTTACATAGGAGATTTATGTCCTTGGTTTCCTCTCGAAGGAACCATTGATGGTAAAAGATGGCTCTGGGTTGGAGACTGTTTAAAAGACTATTATGAATCTTTTGGCCCCGAAAAGGTCCTTGTGACTGCCTTTTCTTATTGGAACTTGATTAATGACATTCTCAAAAGTGCACCCTTTGATAATGGTACTTTAAAACTTGTTAAAATTGGGCAAAATGCTATGCAGACGGCTTCCCGCCCTCCTACAGGGGTCTCTGATGGTGGAGGACCCACGGATGCTGTCAAACATCTTCAAATAATCGAGCTTTTAAAACCCCAAATCCCTGAACTCACATATCACCCCTTAATGTTGCCTAAATCTCAGATTCCAGATTTAGATCCCAATACATTAGATATTTTGGGAAGTACCTTCTCCTTGCTTAACACTTCCAACCCCACCCTTGCTAAGGATTGCTGGCTTTGCATGACCACAGGAGCAATAATGCCCATGGCAATACCTGTTGACTCCACCATAAATAATCAGGATACCTGCCAATCTGGACTTCCCTTTAAAGTACAGCCTATGGATGCACCTACAGTATGCCTTCAAGGCAGGATGCAAAATAATTCTTATGATATTGACGTTGGGGTTAGTTCTTTTGGAAATTGCTCATCAGTTCTAAATTATTCCTCACCCACCCCAGCTCTTTGTCCCCCCAACGGTACAGTTTTTTTGTGTGGAGGAAACTCAGCCTTCCCCAGGCTTCCAGCAAATTGGACTGGTGGCTGTGTTGTTGCCTTATTACTCCCAGATATTACTGTTGTCTCAGGAGATGAACCTCTGCCCATTCCTAGCTTAGACACCTTAATTAAAAGACATAAACGGGCAATACAAGCCTTACCGCTCCTTGCCAGCCTTGGAATAACAGCAGCTATAGGCACAGGTACAGCTGGCTTAGGCACGGCTATACACTCTTACCGTCGCCTATCTCAACAACTTATAGATGATGTACAAACTCTATCTGGAACCATTAAGGATTTACAGGACCAAATAGACTCCCTGGCAGAAGTGGTCCTTCAGAACAGGCGAGGCTTAGATCTGCTAACAGCCAACCAGGGAGGTATCTGCTTGGCCTTAGGGGAAAGATGCTGCTTTTATGCCAATAAATCAGGCATAGTACGCACCAAAATTAAACAGCTTCAAGAAGATTTAGAAAAGAGACGAAGGGAGCTATTTGAAAACCCCCTCTGGACTGGGCTTAATGGAATTCTACCCTACCTTCTTCCACTATTAGGCCCCTTGCTAGGTCTACTTTTAATTGTGATCATAGGGCCCTGCATTATAAACAGGCTGATACAATTCATTAAAGAACAAATTAACACCTGAGTCTCTAAGCCTATACAGGTCCATTATCATCGCCTGGATATGGAAGACTGTGCTCCTGAGACCCTCCTTTCAATAAAAACTCGCTAAATGCTCCATCTGGGTTTCCAGATTTTCTCTCTGCCACCCCCTCTTCTTATATAACATTCTTGACCA